CATGCATCACTTTTTGCGCAGAGTGTTTTGGCGAAACATCAAATCACCCAGGTGACTCAGCCCCTTTTACAACCCAGATATGGTGCCCTGGAACTCTTGGCTTTTCCAAAAATTAAAATGAACTCTGAAAGGGAAGATTTCAGACTGTTGATTCAGGAAAATATGACAGGACAGCTGATGGTGATTGGGAGAACTGTGTGAGGTCTCAAGGTGCCTACTTTGCGGGGAACCAAGGTGTCATTGTCCTGCGTACAATGTTTCTTGTATCTAGTATCTTGTATCTTCTTCAAAAATGTCTCTTTTTTTAAATAGTGCATGGCTGGATACTTTATGGACAGGCGTTGTACTCTAACTTCCCTGATTATGCTCCACTATATGAGGGGTGAGATGAGAAGTGGAGACATTCAGCAGAATATTAACTGGGTGCTTAATAAGTATCCCCAGGTTCATTTTTAAAATCCTCATATGAGGACGTTTTCTCATAGCTTTTTTTTTTTCTTTTTACAGAGAGGGGAAGTTGACAGGGGAGGAAGGGAGAGAGAGAGAGAGAGAGAGAGAGAGAGAGAGAGAAGTGTCAGTGAGGGAGAAACATCAACTAGTTGCCTTTCCAAAAGTGCCCCAACCAGCGATTGAACCAAGAACCCAGGCATATTCCCTGACCGGGGAATTGAACCTGCGACCTTTTGGTCCACAGGGTGATGCTCCAACCAACTGAGGCACGCTGGCCAGGGCCCCAACCTTATTTTTCTAACTTCGTTTTCATTGTTGGCACTATCGTAGATGTCCGCATTTTCCCCCTCTTTGGCCATCTCCACCCAGCCCCCTCCCCTCTTTCCCAGGTTCATTTTTACCAGAAGAAGAAACATGGTGATTGTAGGGAGGTAGTACATTTCTGTTGTTATTGTTCTGATATTATTGCTGTTCTTTTATTGAAATGAAACTCAATTTATTTTCTTTTAATTAATTTTTTTTCTTTTTGGAAAGTCTGGAATGACGAGGAGGAAACGTGGTCTTTCATGCTTGGATTGGAGGAGATAGGAAGTTTTGTTTAACAGGTAGATTAGCACAAATTTCAAAGGAGAAATAGCAAAAATATAACTAAGTGAAAGATTTTTTTTTTGTAGTTAATCTAAGGTAAGTGCTCTCTTTGAGAGCTGAGAGGATACTTAAATATCTTTGTTTCCACTGCTTAAAGGTGGGTTTGGTTAGTAATGGATTGGAGTTCAGTAAGTACAATAAATGTCAGTAGTCCATGTCAACCTAAATAAATAAATGAATAAGCAAATAAATGGGGAATAAGGGACAGCCCTTACTTACAGTAGAATTCTCATGAACAAATAGAAAATGGACATAGAAAATCATCATTTAGCAAATGGCACAGTAATAATTATAGTGGGCAAGAATTTTCAGTAGATACAAACGTTAGCAAAGTTATGATTAGAAACAGGACATTTGCAGAATCTCCAAATATCTCCCTACAAGATTACAAAGAGTGAAGCAACCTGGCAGATACTACCTTAACAAAGTTATAAAGTTAACCAATAATGAGACAGGTTGTCATCATTTACCTCCTGATGGCCCAATTTCACTTCTGTGATCTTCTTGCCAAAAATGCACAGTCTCAACCAAATCGTGATTTTCTCATGACAGACCCAAATTGGAGAGCATTGGACAAAGTAACTGGACTGGACTCTTTAAACATGTCAGGGTCATGACAGGCAAACCCGGAATGAGGGACTGCCCCAGATTAGAGAAGGCTAAGGAGACAAAGAAAGTGACCGCAAGGTCATGTCCTGAACTGGGTCTGGAGTGAGAAGGACATTTTGTGAATGTCCCTGTGCATTAATTGGTGAGATTTGAATAAGGCCTGAAGATTGTTTAATTATTTTGTATTAATGAAAATGTCATTGTTTTAATAATTAACTATGGTTGTGTAAGATGTTAACATTGGGGGGATGGCCTTTAGGGACTCCATATAATTGTTACAGCTTTTTGTGAGCCTCAAATTATTTCAGAATAAAAAAGTTAAAAAGGAACATTCTGGTATGATTTTGAGTGATTTGGAATTTTTTGTTGGTAGGAAGAGGAGAATTATATACCCTAAGATACCTCTTATAGATAATCTCTTGTTCTCTAGGATTTTCATTTTCACAATTAATTTTAGAGGTCTTCTGATTCCTTTACATTTTTTTAAGGAGTAGCCCTTTAACCTGTTGCCTGATTGAGTCTTCAATAATCATCCTAAAGCATTTATTTCAGTTTTGTAATTGTGAAAGACCTGGAGCAATAACAACTTAGTTTCAAATGGCAGTGGAATGGAAATTTAATAGTTTGGTTCACTTTTTTTTTTTAAGTCTAATTCAGCTTTTGATAGTAATATTTCAGCAAATTATCTGTAGTCTATGAAACCCAACAAATGATAAGATCAAAAAGTAGATTGTTTTTTTAAAATTTATGCCTATTTATTACCTCCCCAGTAATTTAAGTACTTTGAGGGCAGCTTCTGTGTCCACTGCTCATTTGTATCCGCAGGCATCCAGCCAGTGCTTTACCCACTGGCTGTCAACACGTGTCTGGAAAAGATTAAAGTCTAAGTGGTGGGGGCGGGGAAGAGAATGGTGCCTTTAGGGGCTTATCTTTATTGCAGAACTGTCAAACGGGGGAAAAGTGGTAGACCTAACTTTCTGTGATCACAGATTTCAATAGAAAAATTGATTTAATTTATTAAGGCTTAATTTCATACACACCGTTTACCTAAAAAAATAAGAAATAGGAGCTTCAAAATAGAACGAAGGGCAAAAATTATTAAAGACCCCTGACTTTCATGTTGGCAGTAATGTGTCCTCTGATGAAATTTTAACAGTAAATGTCCATCTCTAGTGTTGACTTTTTACTGCGTTGATCTCTGTCATTGTTCACATTAGCCTTTCATCTCTATATGAAATATTTATCTCCTTTTTGCTTTGTCTTCTTTTAAAAAGATTTTTTATTTATTTTTTAGAGAGAGGGGAAGGGAGGGCGAAAGAAGGAGAGAAACCTGAATATGTGAGAGAAACATTGACTGGTTGCCTCTTTCATGCCCCCAACCGGGGACCTGGCCCGCAACCCAGGCGTGTGCCCTGAATCGAACTGGCGACCTTTTGGTTCACAGGCCGGCACTTAACCCACTGAGCCATACCAGCCAAGGCTTGCTTTGTCTTTTTATAAACTGTGTTTGACTTAGCTGTTATATAAATTGCTTGTCGTTTAAAAACATCAGAATTTTTAAGGGTTGATTTTGAGGGCTTTGAAGAAAGTTTTCATCTGTCCAGAAGCAATTTTAGATGGTATAAGAAGAGAATAGAGTTGTCCTATAGAGTAAAAAACCTCAAATAGCTTTTTTTTGGGGGGGGGTGGTGGGGGAGGTGTTAAAAATTGATTTATAGAACATCGCTAAGGTCTCTTGGGCCCAGATGATATTTTCTCCCAAGACACCTTGACCCAAAAGTTGAAGCTGTTTTAGATTATTTGTCCTCCACCTGAAATGAATCCATGACTAAGTCAGGAACTGAACGCCGATTCCTTAATGCTTCCCATACTTTAACTTGCTTGCGCCTTCTGTCTCCAAATGCATTTCATTTGAGGTGCCTTTGCCTTTTAGGAAAGCTGTCCAGGTAGCATTATAAAAGATGAAACAAAACTGGCTTTCAGTAGAATAAACATCTAACCATACTTTTAAAAAATTATGGTAACATACATATAAAATTAACCTTAATTTTTTATAGTGATTGCTAAGGAGGTTTTATATAAGGTGCCAGATGAACATACATTTTCCCCCCAGCTAGAGAGAAAGGTTATAATTATATTAAATTTATATTTTACTACTCTTTACTTGAAATAGAGAAGACAGAACTTGCCTCTTTTGTGGTTCTTCATACATTTAACTAACTTAATTTAATTCCTTTGCAAAATAAACAATTTTTTTTTGTGAGGGGAGGGATTAGATTTTGAATACCTTTAAAAATGTATTAAGTACAATTTTAGCTGCCTTAGTTTTTTTTTTTTTTTACTCCAGTTTTCTCAAAGCACACTTCTTTCCCTTAGTTGCAAGAACTTCCACCCACATACGTTTTATACCAAAAAAGTGCAATGTTTTAGAGTCAGAATTACCAAGGTGTGTCCTGTATCAACTTGCTGAATATCTGGAAGCCTAATATAAAATTCTTTGATTTTCCCTAGTTGTAAATCTTTAAACAATGTCAACATACTTACATACTGACATCAATGGAATTATTTTTTAGAATGTCAGCCTAGGAGTAGTTAGCTTTGCCTGCATCTGACTTCGAAATGCAGCTTAAAAATGATTAGTCTGAAATGTCATTTGGTTAGGTATGAATTGTTGCTGCTATGACCCTTTGGTCTACATTGCCACCTGAAGTGGAAATGGGAGTCTAGCCATAAGAAATACCTGAGGCATTTCTTTTCTGTGAGTGCATGCATGGTAAGGCATGATAACCAAGGGCCCCTTGAAGTAATGTTTGTCAGAAGATAATGACTTTTACTTTGCTTAGAAGGTACCATTCCCTAAGTAACAAATGAAGTGTTCACAATTCCTGAGGCACTATCGACATGACCTTAGTATTTAAATATGTAAGGGTTCTAAAGCTAGAACTATAATCTTTTAAACTTCTCCCAAATGAATCAACAGTTGGAAAGAGCACCTTTCATATATGCACACAAATAATTTGGGAAGTCTAAAAATTTCCTTGTCTGGTCTTAGTAGCCGCTGATCAAAGAATGGAAGGTGATCAGTGGGCTCTGTAACTGGTGCCGTGGCAGGTGGTTGGGGATGAACCGGGTATTGCTGCTGGTGTTACTGCACGAACAGTGCAGAGACAAGGAGGCTGGCAAACAGCTTGTACAGAGTAGATAAAGTAAGCCAAAGAAGGAGAGATCACAAAAGGCTGGTGGCTCGGGCCTCAGTGACTGAGATCTGATTTATATAATGTGTCTGGTTTCAGATTGCCTGTTTGGTACCTGTGGATCAGTTTCAGCTTTATCAGCGGTTAAAATTTGAACGAGGTATGTATGCACCCTTCTTTTTATCCCAATGCTGAATGTGGTTTTACACATGTCATCTTTCCACCAACCTGCATGCAAGATTAAGGCAGCTGCGGGCTGTCAGCAAAGCCACAAGGGTGCTCAGAAAGGGGAAAACTGTAATTGCAACACACAATTTCAATTTTCTCAGCCTCACCCAGAAAAAAAATACAGGCTAGCAGGAAATAGAAGTTTCCTTATTGGTTGTTTTGTATTTTTAATTTGGCTTATGTGAGAGAGGTTCTGCAAAAGTTGGGTAGTTTCACAATAACAATGTCATTACAAAAGAAGAGTGATCCTCAGAATGGGTTTTACTTCCAATTTTTGTACTCATGAAGATCACTCTTAAAATATCAGTCAGCCCAAACATTTTTACGGCTTATTATAATACCATTTGTTCTTTTGGTACGACCTTTGTAATTATAGTGATGGCAGAATGTATTATTTTAATGAGATTTACAATGTTTTGGACTAATTTTCTTTCTGACTTTGGATTTGGGGTAATTTATACAGCTTTTCTAGTTATCCTGCCTTTTGGTCTGTAGGAGTTGTATTTTTAACTTCTTTTGGCTTCTCAGAGATCTTTTTTAGGAGCCCTTTCCTCCTGTCCCACCCTATTAATATGTTCTTGAACTAAATGATCTGTTTCTTTGTATCTGAGAACTGGAAAAAAAAAATTATTTCCCCTAAATCTTTTAGGACGGATGTAGTCTCATTGGGTATATAAAATAAACTCACCTGGCATGAACGTGCAGTTTTCTGATTGCTGACTTTTTAATCTGATTAATAAAGGCCAGAGATGGCAGGGGGGTGGGCATATCTATCACGTGCCAGTAAGTATAGTAAACATAATTACCTTTATTTCATTTACTTTTTGCAACACCCTGATGTATAATTCTTACATGAAAAAAGAAAGAGAGCATGAAGGACCTAAGAGTGGGAATATGTACCTGCGGCGTGGTCACAGGATGGCTTTCACTGCCACGGACTGAGGTCTGGCTCAGTCTCATAGGCTTATTTTTTTTTCTGCAGGCCAAAGGCAGATTCACCTCTCACGGATGGATCATTTAACTAAATTTATAATATTGATAGATTAAGGTGGAATTCACTAATAAAACAATTTTTGCACTGGATTACCTGAAGATGCACATAGGAGGTTAGGAAGTAGAATGTTGTTGAACATAGAATCAGAGCCAGTGAAGTCAGATGAATTTTCGGTTTCAAGATGAAAACATAGCCTGATGCATTTTGTCCTGTGGATTCTGAGCTAGCTAGAGAAATTAATGATGGGTAGTTTGTATTGGCCCACCCTAGTCCACCTCCCTGGGCTAATTAGATTGAGCATTATAACATCAGGCGATGATTTACTGGATGTGACAGCCAAAGTTACAATAGATACTGGGTCAAACATCTGCCCTGCCGTTCTCTCACTTTAGGCCAATATTCACCACTATAAAAATAAATGACTGTTGGCATAGAGATATTTTAAGAATTCACCTGCAAATGGATGTGCTTGGTAGCAAGTGCCATGATTTTGGACCTCTTGAGTAGAGAGTGTCAAGTGAGTTAGATTTCCAGGCTTCTTAAATGGTAAAGCTTGTAAGCTTTGTAACCAGAGCTCAGCCTGTTTATAGCATTCCTTTGCCCCATATAGACGTCTCTTCTCCCATGTCCACCAACCTCCTTCACACCCACTCTGCTGCCCCATCTTTTATGCCTGATCCCTCATTGTTTACATTTTAGGGACATACTTATTGGCTAAAATGCCTTTTTGTAGTTACACACATTCTCATAGTACCAGGAATTAAAGCTTTCTGTTGGTCGTCCTCACAGGTAAATATTGACGTTTTAGTTTTTTTAAAAGAGCAGTGGTTAAGAGCCTAGGTGGGAATGCAGGCTCGACTACTTACTACTACTAGTCGTATGACATTGCACAAGTTTCTTAATTACTCGCCTCAGTTCCCTATCTGTAAAATGGGGATAGCGATAGTCCCTGCACCCTGGGGTTGGGATGAGGATTCGGTGTATTAATACATGTACAGCACTCCTATGGGTGCTTCCTGTGTTTTGGTAACAGTTGTTGGTAATAAAAATACTAATAACTTCAGAGTAGCATCTTTTATAACAAAGTATACTCAGTGATCTTCTATCCCCTTTTTATGAGAGGAAATAATCATAACAGGCAATACCTTCATACTTAAATAGATGTTATGACTTTTTGATAGCGGGATTAGAATGCTGGAAGCTAATTGACCGTTTTTTTTTAATGTTACACATTCTATGGGTTTGAGCAAATTTATAATGCTATGTATAGACCGTTATAGATACACTATGTAGCCTTCTCTGATTGGCTTCTTTCACTTCATAATATGCATTGCACTGCCACATCCATCTTTGCAGGAGGAATAGCCTTGCTATAGGTGAGGTACACATGGAAAATCATTGGACAAGACTCCTGCAGATTGCTTTGTGACTGGAACTTTTTAATGTTCTTGTAGTGTTCATCCCTACTTGTTACTGGCTTATTTCTTCATTAGATATGATAATGTATTTGATCTGATCATAGTCAAGTTGAGCAGGCTATGGAGCTAGACTGTCTTTTGTAGGTGTCTTGCATATCTCTGTTTTGATGCATTGTAAGGTGATCACACAGTCTTACTCATACATGGAATTTTTTTTTTTTCACAAGTTCCATGCAGATGCCCTACAATAGATCCTCATGAATTGGCAATTGATTTTATTATTCCTTTTTTTTATAGATACAGAAACTTAAAATTTGAGGGGTTGAAACTTACCTAGGATCATGTTGTCTAAGTTTCCTCATCTATCAGAATTTTAAGTTATGTAATTTTTTATTGGAGTAAAATATGTATAATGTAAAACTTACTATTTCACTCATTTTAGATGGCTTACTTCACTCAGTATAATGTTTTGAAGGTTCATCCATATTGTAGCATATGTTAGAACTTCATTTTGTTTTGTCACTGAATAACATTCCATCATATGAACATAGACATTTTGTTTACCTATTCATTGCTGATGGACACTTGGGTTGTCTACACATTTTGGCTACTGTGAATAATGCTGCAATGAACATAGGGGTACAAGCATCTGTTTGCATCCTCTCTTTCAGTTCTTTTGACTATATGGCTATGGGTGGAATTCTGGGCCATGTGGTAATCCTATGTTTAGTTTTTGAGGAACTGTCAAACTGTAAAACTCTGTAATTTAATAATAAATTTAATTAGACATTTTAATTATTTTAAAGTATGGAAGTATATTAAATTTGTAAGTACGTATGTTAAATCCTGTGACCATTTCATTCATCTCTCTCGTTTTATAAGAAAGGAATCTGAGGCCCCTAGACGTTTTGAGCTTAGATAATTTTGGAAGGGAATCTGTAATCATGTAATTCCTTATTATCCTCTATTATAAATAATTATATTAGAAAATAGGCGATTTCAAGTAAGGATATATTTATGTTAATACAGTGCTATATAATGGGATTTACTTGATTGGGGTACTTTTAAGTTGTATACCTCATTGTTACATAGTAGACTTCATATTCACTTCAAACTCAAGACTTACGAGTTATGTGACTTTGAGGTCTGTGCCACAAAAACATTTTATGTGAAACTGTTTGGAAGAGGATCTTGGGATGCAATAAATACCAATATTGTGAATGCTTCAAGTGACTAAGTAAAGTAGCAGAAAGTAAAACTAATTGGCTGGGCTCTGAGATAGAATTGTAGAGACTGTTGTTGCTCTGAAAAAATGCAGAATCGGTTTAGTGGAGCCCCATATCTTAGTTATAAAAAATTATTGTTAGTTTTGTCCAATTCTTATTGACTACTAAGTTCTCTCTCAGTTTTTAGTTTGTCATCTGGTGTTTTTAAAATTATCCTCTGCTTTGTGTTACATATGTAGCTTGCCCTTTATGTACTTGTTTTATCTAAGTCTTTGTGAGGAAAAAATCTGTTGAGTAGGAATGGGCCCAAATCATCCCTGTTTATACAAAACAGAGACACACAATTTGGAATTGATTGGTTATCCTATGAATGCACTTTGCATCCATCTGTGACTTTCATCAGCTACTGCGGTGTGTGTGGCTTACCCTTTCTGAGTTAGTCTTCCAACAGTCATGAAGAAAAGGGAATATTAAGTCTGGCATATGTTAGTGATTACTGCTTTCCTTTTTGCTGGTTCTCAAAGCACATGTCTGATGATTAGTGCTAGAATTTTTTTTTACTCTTGTTTCCAGAATCTACTTTTTCAAAATAATTTTTTTTTCAAAAATTGGGTTAAGATTAAGATGGGTTAAGATCCATCTCTAGTCCTTAATCCCTTTTTCCTTTTTGGGGACCCTGTTTTACTTACTTTAACTTCAAGTTGCTTCAGTTCCTTGGTAGGGTAACGTATCTGTTCCTGGCTAGGTGTATCATCATATAGTAGTCAGAAACATATACAAATGTTTCAAGTGCCATAGTGTTCTTCTTCATAAAGCAGTGAAGTAAAGTAAGACTTTCTTCTCCTATTATCTGCTAATCCTACCATACTCACTTAAGTATTCAACATCCACTTTTTTATGTAGTGAGTATCTGTTACGTGCTAAGTATAGTTCCAGATGCTGGCTTCATCTTTATCTGAAAGCCCTTTGGTTCTCAACATGTTTTCACAAGTCTCCTTTCATTTTAAGTCTTAACATTTATGATATGCTTCCTTGAGTTTCATTTCACTCTTTTGTCTTTCGTGAAATGCTCCAACCCTCTCTTTTGTGTCCAGTCATTAAAGTTTCATCTCACCTGAGCTCCCTATGTAGGTATTTGGTGTCTTCTGGTGATTTTTTTTTTTTTTTTTTGGTAAGACTATGAATCTTAATGAGCTTATTGGTAGTTCAGGGTTTTTTTTTTTTTTTAACATCTCCCATCTCTCATTAGCCATCTTTCTTCTCATAGTTGCAGATCACAAGGCTGTTATTACTG